CCTGTTAAAGCATCGACAACGAGCTTTGCTTAGAAAGCGTGCGTAAATACGCGTATGCTCGTATATAAATAAACGTGCCTATGCGCGGACATTCGGTTTGTGCATGTGTACGTACCGGCGTGTATCGACGGTGGTGGTTCCAGATCGCGCCGGGCTCCCCATCGTTGGGTACCACCACATCGGCACCGGGCGGATGCCCCTGTGCAAACTCATTCAACCTGCTGCGGTATAGAGCTTATCAAACGCGCGGAGGTTTGCTCAGGTACTTGAAAGTGTCTGAATTGGTTTGCACGGCTCTTAAAACGTGTGTAATGGCACTCGGCTGCTTTACGCGTCTCTAGTAAGGACGTTAGTGGCATAAACGTAGAAGTCTGTTTTTTCCCGGTGTGGATAGGTCCTCATGAATAGGAGTACTTTAGCATACAAGTACTTTTAGGAATGGAGGTGTAAATCTATTAAAGGAAGCAGGGCTTATAGAAAAGTACTGTCAAGACACCTTTTGGGATTAAAACACTGCATGTTTTGTTGGTTTTATGTGGTTTTTTGTTTGTTTGTTTGTTTTCTTTTAAGCTTCGTTAACAACAGATAAAATACAGATAAAATAAACCCTATGGGTTCCAGCAGAAGCAGTTTGTCCCTTGATACCTGATCTTTTGAGTGAGAAAGTGGCTCTGAGCTGGGAACACATCCCATGGATAGAGTGGTTAGTGCGGTCCAAGGGTCCGTGACCCAAGTTGGCCTCTGCGGTGCCTGCTCCGCCACAGGCGCTCTCGCAGGGAGCATGGGGCAGGTTGTTCTTACAAACGCAGGTTCTTTCCTGTCCCAAGAGCAAAACTACTTTTTGCAGGCCTCGGAATATTTTGAAAGTATTCAGTTTTTGTGGATGTAGCAGCAAGTTTTTGAAGTGCTCATGAGTTATTTCCTTCAAAACTGGTAGAAGGAGTTGCTGTATCGCTGTCTGTCAAATATATAGTCTCGATGAGAGTCCTGGTTTGAGAAAACTTTTTGTTGTACAATGTGTGCAGTGGCCTGTCTGCAGGCACTGGCCTAAGGAGCAGGTGAAATGTCTTACTGTGATTCTTCATGTTTTGCTCTGAGGGGTAGATGCACAGATGGGGCTGAAGTCAGAACATGAAGAGGAGAAGGAAGTGAGAAGACAGACCAAAGGTTCTTAAATATTACTTTCCACTTTGGACACTCACCATTTACAAGGAAGCTTTTTCCAAGGATTCCACAGAAATACTGTAACAGACTGTTCCCAAATAACAGTATTGCCAAGTTGAGCTTCATTCTGCAGCTGGTTTATTTTGTGACTCTTTGGTAGAAATATTGTAGCTACGATGTGCTGAATATATATGTGGAACAGTATATTTTGTGGAAGTTAGCATCGTTTACTGGGCCAATGAGTATTCTTAGGAAAAGCTATAGGAAGCTTTCAGACTTGGTCCTGTATGTTTGCATTTCTCTCTCACGTACTGGTTTAAAGGGAAGCGTAGTTGATGTTGTGCAAGTAGTAACAAAATATTTTGCCAATACAATGCAGTAATTGTTGCATGTGGACTTTACAAATGTTGATGCCTAAAGCAAAGCATTAATTTACCATATAGGTAAGTGGTTTGATTTTTACACATACCAGTCAGTTACTGTGCAAGGTCAAGTCTGTGCTGGAAAGTGTGCAGTAATATATTCAGCTTGATTTCTCCTTTTGTATTGGAAATGTGGGAATTCTTACAGGAAGTAACTTGCATTAGTTCAGCAAATGTGTCATCTTGCCCCTAGAAGTAGCTATGAAAATACACTGGAAACCTGCTCCAAAGGGATTAAGGACATACAAGGCTGATGCTGACTCTGGACATTGCTGTGGCTGTCAGGTTCTTGCCTCATTCCGCACTCTGCTTTTTGCAGTGAAAAATGCTAGTTGTGGCATGTGTTGTTCTGCACTCACCTGACTGGGCCAAGCCGCCTTGAGTGGTGGTGGTGTTCATTATTGTTGTCTTTTTTCATCATAGAGGTCCCCCATAATCATCTCCCCTCCCCTCCAGCATTTTTTTTATTATTCTGCCAGGAAAACTAGTACTAGTTTTATGTTCTCGAGTCCATCTAATGTGTTTTCTCTTCCTGTTAAGCCTTACCAGTGCTAGAAATTCTTGAACTGACTTCTCATGTTGCTTTCCCAGTAGGGATTATGTTTGAAAATCTTTCTGGTGTTGGTGGTACTGCCTTACTCTCTCCCTTTCAAGTTTCTCTGGTTTGCTGTATAGCTTTATTTTTGCTGTAATTTCTTTTCGGCTCTCCATTTTGTCTCTGTACTTTTTCTTTTCTGCCTCCTCAGTATTGTCTGATCACTAGAATTCTTCTCCTCTTCCTTTGGCACTTGTCTTTCTGAAGCCTCTCTTTTTTTCCTACTCTTTTTCCTCTTGAGTGCATTGTGGCAACAGGTAAAGAAAACCCAAGTTACAAATAACTGATTCAGCCTCTGCCCCATGCTGCAGAGAGTCCGTTGCCAGGAAGCTCCTCAGGTACCCATCAGCTTGGCACTCTCTGGTCATCCCCAGAAAATCCCTATGTTTAAAAAGAGCAGTTTGTAAGGTTGATAGGGCTGGAGGGCCGGTGGGATTCACCTCTGACAAGTCCACCTAGGGGTGCTACTGTGCCTGAGCTGCTCCCTTATCCCCTGCTGTCATGCTCTCCTTTTCCCATTATCAGATAGCTCTTGGTTTGTTGTTTGTTTGGTTTTGTTTTCTTTTTTTTTTTTTTTTTTTCCCTTCCTTTTTTCCTGGAAGAACTCTTATTTCTGAGAAGTAGAAAAATCAGTGCTTGAAGCGTCAGCAAGGCATGTTGCTACGGCATTACATGGTTCACATCCTTAGTATCTTTGTTGTAAATACGTCATTCGATACGAATCTGCGCGATGCTGAACCCTGACCTGGTGAGTGCTGCTCTGTGGAAGTCCCTGTGAAATCTTGTGGTATGCCTGGCAGGTCACGTTGGCATGGCAGATGGCAATAAATCTGGGACTACGTGAGAAGACTTTAAAAAAGAAATTAACAAAGAAAATACACACCTCAGCTCATGGTGTTCTTAATTAAGTAAAAAGTTTTGTAAGATGGTTTTGAGAAAAGAAATATAATGGTTGCAGGGAATTTGGTTTAGAAGTCTTATTAAAGGACAGTTAGAGATTCTTGTGGTAGCTGCTATCCTTATGAATTAATTATATAAAGTAGCATTTGATTAGCACATCCTCATTGTTACTTTTCAGAAAGTTCTTATTTCAGAAGGCAAATGACTACCTCCTTATGTTTTCGACCAAAGTCTAATACTGGAAACAGATCTCCATGATCCATGTCCTTTCGTACTTCCCTTCCTTCTGCCTCTAGTACTGAGGGACGGCTTGTTCGAACTTTACGGTCTGTTTTATGTCATGGCACCGAGAGTTTTGACTGGTTTACACTCACCTCATTCACCTTGGTTTATTCGTAATTGTGTCGTTAGTGAAATTGGGAATGGAAGTTGGCATCCTGTGTGCTGGAGGGTTGGAATCGTATGATTCACACAGCTAAAAACCAGGACAATGCATTTTATGTGGTCAGTATTGCCACATCTGATGCGTGTTGTGCAGTGACTTCAGTGAAGTGCCCCTTTGGACACACCCTGGGGACTGCTGTTATTTTTTTCCCTTGTAGAGGTATGTTTCAGACAAACAAGGAACAGAAGTCGCTTTCTTAGAATTTTGCTGTTTAAACCAGAACAAAAAAACCCATGTCTGTCTTTCTGGCGTCCTTGTTGTTGATCAACAACTTCGGATTTTTGCCCTGGAAAACATACAGAGAACAGAGTCTTTTTGGAAAGGTTTGTAGAAACTGTCCAGAGGTGTTTGCCGCAAGGAGGCTACAGTGCCAGTGAAGGGGAAAAGCAAGGAAAATGGAAAGGTAACATTTATACATACATTTTAGTGAATGTCTCATAGCACAGCTGGTTCCCTTCATAGTTTGCCTCACTGAGGAATGGTTGGCATTTATATATTTCCATAATTTCTCAAGCAGCTTTATTTCAGGGTGAGCATAAACCAAGGTGTCTGAGAAATCCCAAGCCTTTCTTGTCCACTCTTTAATGAGGTGACAAGGCTCTAGTTTGTCACTTGGAAAGGATTCAGCAGTGAGAGCTTTTGTCAACCCTGCAGATGTCTGAAATACCTTCCTGCTTAGTACCTGGCTACACTTCCACAAGTATCTGAAGAAAATGTAAAATAGATTAATACTGGTCCAGGAGAATTCCGTCCTAAGAAAGTCTCTTTCATAGGTAGTTGTTAATGTTGTGATTTTTACTTGTATCATACACAACATTTAAATGGTTATGCTGTAAATGTTTTGAAAAGGCAGTACTGAAGTATGTGCAGACTTTTAGAGCATGCAGCTTAGTCAAGAAGGTAGAAATTTGATCACTGTTCATGCGAATGGAAGAGAACTTTCTGTGATCCTGAGAAAGACAACTTTGAGCAAATGTTAGGAAGAGTTTTATTATGAAGGTTCAGTACCTGGTGCCTAGTTTTTTTTATAGGTGCTTAACTTACTTAGGAATTGGAAGATTTCTCCTATTTTGGTGTCCCACAGATTTGCCTGAAAACACACTATTTTTGCATTACTTTTGATCTATTGCACAGACCTTAACTGGTTTGCCAAATACTATTTCTCTACAACATGGTCAACACAGAAATTCCTCCTGGCTCTCAGATGTAGCTGGTTTAGGGAATGAGGTAGCAGAGAGCCCCTGTGTTAAAAAAAGAGAAAGAAAAAAAAAAGTTGAGGATATGCTTCTTTTGCATCTTCTGCTTATATTATCACAGAAATACCATCATGCTGTTTTGTCTGTGGTCCTGCAGGGTAAATTAATGAAATGAGGAACAGACCACCTGTGTTGGCTGGACATGCTGAGCGCTGCTGCTCAGGGGAGGATGCTCTCTCATCTGTCATTGTGTCTGCTAATCCTCTTACCCTGATTTTAGTGAGTCTTACCCACCCCAGAGGTGTGTGACTGAGTAGTGGGTACACTCTGAACATGGAGCAGGGCAAATACAAAATGTCTCTGTTGGGCAGTGAACTGTCCTGTCTCTCCCAGCAGTTTTCTGCCTGGTTTGGAAATGGCTTTTGGGAGAGTGTGGAAGGTTCCCAGGGCAGCACCATCCACAGGTACACTAGAGGGCAGGATTTAGCCCTTAAACCGTTTTACAGGCTTTGGAAACCAGGAACACTTGTAGATACTTACGTATTCTTGCTTACAGAAAAAAGCCCTCGCACAGCCATAGCTGAATGAGTAAGGCAAATATGCATAACATACAGTAGTTTGACAGCATACAGTGAAATTATGGAGAAAGTCTCTCAAATTCAGATTCTTTGTGCCCCCTTTACGTGGGCAGATTAAAATGTTTGGTAAAAACTGCAGCGATGCATGTAAGACATTTAGTGAAGTCAGAACAAAGGTTCTGAGTTGTCATCTTGGTAAAATGGAGCGGCATGTTCCTGAATTGTTCATTGAAAGAATGAGATCAGGTGGCTGCTAGTGGGTTTTACTTGGCTAAGAAATGGTTGACATTTATACAGCTGGTTCTAAGAAAAGGTTTATCCTGTGGCAGAAATATATTTGAAAGCATTTTATAGAAGGTGAACTATGTTAGTAATGTTTTTTTAAGATAACAGTTTCTTTTGGCATGCTAGATGAAGAGATTAAATTGCAGTTAGTTGAAAACCATGGGTTTGGGTTTTTCTCTTTTCCTTTTGTTTGTTTGCTTTTGAAGTGTGTTGGGTGTATATTACTAGAGAGTCTTGAAAGTTGATCAGATTGATCTGCTGTAATAAAAGCAGGTTTGGATTCTTTATTCTCTAATAAAAGCAAGAGAGGTGCCAAGTGCACAGGCAGTTAAATGGGCAAGAAGAGATGTAGCACCTGTTTCAGAAGTAGAATTAACAAACCCCAGAAAAATGCACTCTTCTTGTGTTCAGTTTCCACAGAATGCATACATCCGTTGTATTTGCTAAAAGAAAAGGGACCTGTTCCACTGCAGGTTTTTTGGGCAGAATTCTGTTTAACTGCCTTTTCATCAATGTCTCAACCTGAATTTTAAATTATATTATTTCCAGTGACATTTTGTTTCTGTAAGCTTTACCCAACTCCCCCAGATTACATACATGGCAAGTAGTTTTGAAAAAGAATTATTCAGTGGTTTCATATCCTGGAAGTTGCTAACAGTGAAGTGAAACATGTAGTAAGAGTTTCTTTGAGAGTTTTTCTCTAAGATTAATATTCTTCACCTTTTTTCTTCCTTTTATTTCCCAGGAAAACATTTTCTCATGTTTCTTCATTGTTCAAGCACTTTGAGCTAAATCCATGAATCCATCCATAAATTCTGATGTGAACAAGAGAAGACTGTATTTGAAAGAGATGACTGAAATTTGTGGTTTGATTATTAAGGCTTTTAGCAGTTTTGGGAGAATTGCCCTGGGATCTGTTGATTCAAAATACTTGAGGGGTGATTGATTATACTAAGTTGGTTAATAATCCAAGAAGCAGTGGAGCTCTTTGACTGTCAGTGCAATTATTTAGTAAAAACAAAACGGTCTGTATAACCTTAACGCAGTCCAGTTTTGAAGCAAAGCTTATCCTGGGAATGCTGAAGTTACTGTTACTGAAGAAAGCCCACATTTGCATGAAATCTCTGAACTGAGACTCTATACCAGTGCTATTTGAAATGTTTATGGCATGATTTTGGAAGCCTGAAAGGTATTAATGAGATTTCATTTCAATTCTGCTGGAGAAATAACAGTCTTTATTTTTATTAGTTTCTGTTTAAGACTGAGCATTTCAAAACAAAGCAACTCCCTCATCATTTGTCATTTTCAGCAGGGAGTTTTGTGACAATATATTGGTAAATTGAGTTCCTGTCTGCTGCTTCTGCTGCCTCCTGACTTCTCAATAAAAATATTTAAAGGGTGACTCTCTGGGGTACTGGTGGCATTTCAGGATTATTATCTTATGCAGTTTTTTGTTTGTTCAGGGTAGGGCCAGATTTTGACTGCAGCCTGATACGGTCGTCCGAGAGTATAAATGAGATGATGTCTACAAAGTTGGGTGGAGGTTGTCTTGCAGAAACTGTCATGGTGCACTTCTGGTAGAGTGATCCTTTATGAACCTATCACTCATGGTTGACTTTTAGAGCTTGAAACCACATGGCTTGAGTGATTCAAAGGAGAAAGGCAATAAGGGTACTAGGGAAGGGCGAAGCAGGAACTAGACTCCATAGCCATTTGCAGTGCTAATTTGGTGAAGTTACGTTCTTGTGCTGCGGAGTTTGTTAGCTTGTCTCTTACCTTCTGGCGAGACTTCAGCAGATCTCGGAAAACAGCAATTCTTAGCATTCCAGCTGGAATGTGCAAGTCACAAAATCCGGATACTCATGGCTATGAAATACTGCCTGGTGATGTGTTTTGTAAAATCAAGGATAGAAAGCAGCTGGGATACAGCTTGGAAATACTTGCAGTCTGTTTCTTGTCTCTTTCTGCTCTCAGGCTGACCCACAGTACCTGATGTCCATCTGCAAACTTAATCTGCTTTATCTGTTTTCTTAGACATTGTGTTGCCATTCTGTGGTGGTGTAGCTCTGGGGTTATTTTTGCCAATAAAGGCTGTCCTTAGCGTACATCAGCTACCAGCAGCTCAACTGTTGCTGCCTGTCTTGTGGTACCACATCCTGAACCACCTCGTCTGTTAAAACGCAGGACAAGATACAGAGTCTTCCTTGATGGATGACTTGAAAAGGGTGAACAGAGAGGAGTCCATGTGGTTGTTACCAGTGTTACATTTCAGGTTAGAATGGTCATTTCGGGATCATATGACAATTAGTGTTAATACAGTCCCAACACTCTGGGAAGACCAATAATGAGACTGAGATTTCTGGATCTAGAGGACCAAACTTGTAGAGTAGTTTGTGCAATACTTCTTGAGGTCCTGTTGATACCTGTGGCAACATAGATGGATACAAAAATAAGAGCATTTTTAGTGTGGAAAAGCAGCCAGTGAGGGCCATATAAAGGATGCACGGGGAGAGACCATCATCTCTGTGTAGAAGTGACCTGGGTATGCCGCTGCACAGGCTTGTTGGGCTGAGCAGTGTCTGGAAATAGCACATGGATTCAGTTCATCGGGTTTCTCCAAGTGTAATGGAGCAAGTGGGAAGAACAGCTAAATGTGTGCCTGGCTGTGCCTCTGATTATGTAAATATGAAGAATTCACTTTGTGGTTTTACAGATGTTTACAAAGTCACTGTGGATGTTTTGCTGATGGCAATGTGGTTCACTTGGGAAAATAGAGGAAAAGACTTACTGTGCTTGTGTCCTTAGAAATGCAGGAATTCCTCCGAGCTGAAGAGGTCTACAGAACTGCCCTATCTTGTCAGTTTTAATTTATTTCAGTCCCAACCTTCTGCTTGCTTTAACTGCTTGTAGAAGTGATGTCTTCCAGAACGTTTAGCCTGTCTGTGCTTGAGCTGGTACCTGTGAGTGTAAAATGTTACTCTTTTCTATTAAAGAGCAGAGCAAGGTGTCTCAAAATAAGACTGAATTTCAGTGATCAAGCTCTAGTAGCATGGATCCATATTGTCTATGTGATACTATATTAGGACAAAATGCTGTTAGGAGTGAGAGACGTCTGGCCTGCCTGATGATTTGGTGTGGCATAAGGAGAGGCTGAGATTGCTGTTGCTTGTAGCTGTGGCTTACTTTGGGAGCATGTTCTTGCAGTGAAGTCTGGAGCAGTGTGGAGATTTAAACCAGCATAGTTAATACTAGTAATGTTGTGGCTGAAACAGCAGAGAGCCAGGTAGGTTCTTCCAAGCTTCAGATTGTAAGGTCTCGTCTTTTGTTCTCAAAAAAGTGCTCATGTCCCTTCTTAGTATGGTTTGAAGACATCCAGAATAAGCAGGGGGATTTTATTCAGAGAGCTGGAAGCTGGGGAAGTGACTACAGTCTGATCCATCTCTTTGTGGTCCTGCAGACCGAAGTTCTTGGCTCCTCATTACAGGCTGGGTCCTACAGCGTATTCTGTCTGCCTCCGCAGAGTGATCACAGGTGGCTGTAAAAGTGAAGTGTTACCCAAATATTTGAAGGAAAGTCTAAAAATGCATGGTGCATTTTATTTTTCGATGTTAGGGGAATTTAGTTTCTTATAAAGAACTCTTAATGCTCAGGTGAGGCTGCATTCAGAAGCAAATTAGAGCCTTTTAGTGAAGACTGATTCACTACTATTCTGGGTCAGCAGTGATTGACAGCTGCTGGGTCAGCAGTGATTGACAGCTGCTGTCCTTCACTGCAGCTCGTGCTGTTCCCCTGTGGATGCATTATTTAAATGTCAGCATAGGGTGGTTACTCAGCTTGAGGGAAGGTGATAAAATAGATGGGGGATGAAGTAAGTCTCTGGGCTGCATGTTGTCTTTGCGTTGCTCTTGCAGTAAACAAGGTGGACAGGCACCAGTGAAGTACTGTGCGTGCATGTGTATGGACTTTGAATTTTTATTTTTTTTACTTTTTGCAAAAATATTCATTAAAGATTCAGTGATTAATTAAATTTCACTGGTATTGGAGATGGAGGCAATATAAAACCAGCACAGTTGCTATCTCTGAACCCTCTGGCCAGATTAAGAGCAATCAGCTTCAAAGGACAACTTAATTCATAGGAACTCCTCCTGATCAGCTTGTTGTTTCTTCCTGCTCCTGTCTACTATGCCATCTCTCTGGCACTCTGGGTGCCTGACACAGTTGCTCTTTCACCACTGTGCTTCAGGCTGTTGAAATCCAATTTGCTCATTCTTCTTGGCATTTCTAAAATCCAGCTTTTCCTTTCCAGTGGTGACACTGAGGCTTATTAAGCCTATGGGCTGGCACTTTCTCACCACTGTTCTGGCAGCCTTTTCCTTTCATCTCACCAGTTCTGCTACTGCTCCAGCATCAGTTACAGCCCTAAAATACTACATACTACTGAACAGTTGTTGTGAAGAAGGAGCACTAAAAATACCTTTTATAAATTAAAATACATTTTACCTTCTCTGTCTTAGAAAGTGATGCTTTTGGGCTCATCTCAGGTTGTCCCTGTTTTTATATATGTTTATTTTTCTGCAAGTGAAAAACTGGTTGTAGTTACAAAGAGATTAGTGAATGCATGGTAAACATGAAAAGCTTAAATTCTGCAGGGTCTGTATGCATCTTCTGATATTAGTCAGTGATGTTACTGTGTTGGCTAAATAGTTGCATCAGCTTTGTTTTAGAGGTGAACAACTGGAAGTGTTTATTCTGCAATTTACTCTAGGGAATACTAAATGGAGTGAAAGCAGTTGAAAGACACATGATGGATTACTTACCCTTGTTAAGAAAAGCCTTTTGGGAAAAGTCCTAAAAAGCATGTGTGAACATGTGCTCATTGTTTTGATAAGGAAACCCTCAAATTTTGTTTTAAATCGAGAATTGAGGATAAAGGTATTGGTAACTTGGAGATTAGGCCTTTTTACCTGTATCCAGTAATGAATGAAGTTCTTTGATAAAGTTAGTAATTTTTTCTGCTTGTTTTTGCCCTCTTGCCTTTAAATGATTCAGTCAGCTCATCTGCAGTGACAAGGAGACTGCAAACAGTGTGGCAGCTAGGAATTGAGAAGAACTTTATATGATGGCGTACTTGCAGTTTCTGGCGTTTGAAGTCATTGCGTAATGCCAAGCAATCACTGTTTACTTACTCGGCAGCACAAAATAACCCAAGTTGTGTTTTGTAAGCAGAATATGGAAACTCTAATGTTTTTAACTTTTAAAGGACCTGATGAAGTTTGATCAACGAGTTTATGCAAACTGTGTGAAATGGAGAAATGTAATTGTGTTTTACACCGAGGCAAATGGACAAGGAGCACTAAGCCAGACTGTTGCCAGAAATGTTGTATGTCACCTTATTCTGAAATTGATCTTCTGCAGGATGACTTTACTGTCCTTTATATGACATTTCTACGCAGTATTTGAGGATGCTGTCTTCAGTGTTTCCTGGGGAGGTTTCCCAGTGTGATGGGTATGTGTTAGGTGGTGCTGGAGATTTGTAGGAATTAAGGTCAAGATATAAATGAGAATAGATGGAGAACCTAAATAGGGAAATAATTTTTATTGCATGTGGTATTTGTACTACTTAAAACAATGAAACCTCTTAAAATCTGTGAATGTCCAAGTTAATGTTGTAGACTAGGTGAGCGGGTTGATATTTAAACAGTTACATAAGTTATTATTCTGTTTAAAGCCTTGGATTTACTTTTAAGTGTAACCGGAACTTTCTAAAGTGTTCCTGTTTCAGAAGTATGTATTTTTGTTGTAGATGTTTACATTTTAAAGACCTTAAGTCTGTCTGTGAGTGGTTTTATGCCTCTGGCTGGCAAAAAGGAAAAAGATACACTTACAATGTTGTCATGCAAAAGCAAAGAACTGTGCCTTTGTACAGGAGTGTGACTCATTATTTCTCAGTGTGACACTTCATTTGCTTGATTGTTTTTGTTGCTATTCTGTGGCTTTTGTTTATTGAAAGACCACCTCTCCTGCTGAGGTTTGCTTGCAGGTTTTCATATCTATTTCTCCTTTCTCCCCACGTGTTCCAGGTTTTAGGAGTGCGTACTTCAACTCTGGCAATGGCACAGTTGCCTTACGATGAGCGTATGAAAGAGAGTTTTTTTTCTGTTTGCTGTCTCAAGACTGGGGTTGCCTCATATGGCAATGCAAAGCTTATCAGTTAGCAGAAGATGCTTAATATGTCTTTGAGAGAAGTGACACAGACTAGATGTGGGAGAGAACGAGCCAAAGATATTTCCAGTTCCTTGAGATAAGTTACAGTAGGCATCACCAGCTTATGGGCTGGGGTTTGGATCTGGCCCAGCAGGCAGCTTTGGCTCTGGAAATGCCAAAATGGGGGATTGATTTCTGTGTGTGTGTACATGCATGTGTATCTTTGATGAACCAGCCCTTGGGTTTGGGAGGGTTTATTGTGTTAGGTATGGAGCAAGCACACTCAACTGTGTCTTGCTTGGACACCTGGCTGGGAATAGACATTGCCCCCAAGCACGAAGGAATCGGCCAACTTCAGCCCTGGCGTATGTGGGAGAGGGAATTTGGTCGTAGGGTGTTGCATTTAGCAAAGCATTGTTGATTCTTATTTCCCTCCCCTTTTTTTGTGAACTTCCTTGCATTTCTGATACTTTTTCACTCCAGAGGCGATCCACCTCTGTATCAGTGGGACTGCAAATAGTTGCTGTTTTGTTCTTTTCTGAGGGCATGGAGGTGAAGGAGGACAAGTGATAGGGAGCCGGGGCAACAGCTTCACCACACTGTCATTTGGGGGCCCCATGGAAGGATTTTCCTTACAGGGCCTCTGCAAATATGTTGGAAATGGGCCCTGAGCCTTTGGCTGGGGTTTAGCTTTTCCACAGCAGAGACTGCAGTAACACTAGTCATTGATCCAGAGACGTGCAGCCCGGGATTTTTCAGGGGGTACATAAACTCTCCCTTCTTATAAACTGAGCTAGAGGTGTTTTGCTAATGATCTTGTTAGTTCAAATACAGTGTCTCTATGTTACTGAAAATGGGTTGAAATGCCATCAGATTCCTCTGCTCTTTTCAGGGTCTATGAGATGTTCTGTTCGTTGCAGGGTCTGAGTATGTGTTTGCTGTTGAGAAGTTCAGAAATGCAAAAAAATCTCTTGCAGCCTTGGCTGATCAGTGTTTTGGAGCCCAGAATCCTCTTGGTAAAATGTTGTATTTCATGTCATATTCCTGCAGAATGTCAATAGTGAAGTTAGAGCTGTGAAAAGAGCTTCTCTCTCTTGCTGTTTGAAGCAGCTTATTTAAGTGAAAGGCAGAACAATGAAGAGCTGTGTGTGAAGATTAAAGGTGGTGTAGTGATGCTGTTACCTTGTCTTGAGGTATTTGGAGTGGTATTTGATGTCCTGCAGGGAAGAGTGTAGGTACTGAAGGGAGATATTCAGGTTGTGTGGTCCTGCCCAGGGAGCAGCATTTTGTTGTGGTGGGAAAACTCTGAAAAGCATGAAAGCAGCCTGTGCACACGTGTGTGCATGTTGTGCCTTACATGTGCGACAGCAGGAAACACGGGTTAACCCTTGTGAGCTTTGGTATAGCTTGCATGTGCATTTGGCAGTAGCAAAAACGTGGCAGCAGGATTTCCCATGGGAAGCTGTGGAGCCCCTTGAGCAGGAGGCTGGACTGAGTAGGGGCAGAATTCTGACCCGAATTTTGTGTAATTCTGACTGTGGCTGGTTACTCATGGTTTTAGTGCACTGAAGACTGTTCGTACAGATCTTTAATAGGTAGATTATAGTGGAAGTATAGCTTAGCCCTTCATCATACCTTTATTAACTGTGTAAGTGTATCCAAAGCTGTGATCTGAGAGTTGGCTTTTATTTTAGATTTTCTGTGATCTAGTGGTTAGATTTCCCATTTCCTTGTGAAGGAGTAGGGAAATGAGGATTTTAGGAATCTGTCTGGCTAATGCATCTCAAATTCCACCTACTTAAGGTGCAGGAATTTGCCTCATTCTCCTGCACCCTCATGTGCTGCACCCTTACCCTGCCCCATCTAAGTTCCTGTTTTCTCTCTCTGTCTCTTTTTTCCTCTTTTTTTTTTAATAATTAATGTGTTTCTGTCCCTTTCCCTCCCCACTACAACCTTTGCTTTCCCTCTTTCTCGGTGACAGTGTGGCATACTCCTGCTCCAGAACATCTTAGCCAAGGCAGCTGCTATGAGTAAAATAATGGCACACGGCTTCACGCACACTGATTGCCCCAGGCAAAGGGCTTGGGAAGCTGTGGCTGGCAGCAGTGCTCCTCTGCAGCTGCCAGCAGATGTCCGACTGGGAGTGTGCGAGAAAGGTAGTACTCAGCAGTGAGTAACTCCCAAGATGTGCAGTTCTTTTTTCCTAAAGTATTAAGTTGCTAGATTTTGCCAAGATCTTCTAAATAAACCAGTTTTGAAGGAGGTCTTTGGCCGAACCCTTATGATAGAGAGCAATGAAACCATTTGGGACCATTTAAGTAAGTGCAGTTTTATTTGGTCTGGGCCATTAAAAAGCTTTGTTGGGTTGGGAGAACTGTAAATGGACTTTAGAGTTTTCACTGTACATGGAATTTTTCAGTTCTAGTGCTCAGGGCAATAAAAGAACTTTTGGAAAATGTACACATTTTCAGTGTTCTCCACATTTGCTAACATCTTTTCTGTGTTGTGCTACTTGTCTATAAAGTTCTTTTCTCCACTGGTGTATGCAAAACTGTTGCAAATACTTTTTTGGAGCTCTTTTGAGAAAAGACAGGGAAGATCCAACTCTTAACAGAACTCTGAAACTTTGCCAACCACAGTGCTCTTAAATACCACTTGTCAACTTCCATATTCTTAGAAAAGTGTCTCTAAGTGGTGAAGTAAGTGTCCATTTGTAACTCCTTGTCAAATATGCTGGCTGGTTTAAGCTGCAACTTGTAGATCTGTCCTGACCATACACCCTGTGAAAGAGGGGTAGTCATGTATGTGTAATTGTAATTTTACATCCACAGTCCACTAGTGAGATGAATGCTTGAGGAAATCCATGCCTACAGAGCTCTGCTGGCTGCAGTGGAGGAATACATCAGTGTGGGCAGTGTTTTGTCTGCGTTTAACATGTCACAGGATGAGGACCTGATCTAAAAATACCCAACCAACCAAAAATCCAGACCCAGAACTGTTGAACCTGTTTGACGTATACATCAGGGAGTCGTGTTGAAGAGATGTGATCTTCTGTAAATTGTCTTACAACAGAAAGGAAAACTACTGTCATTCTGCCTAGTCATTTTAGTCAGTTTAGTCATTCTGCCTTTCAGATGCTGGTAAGACTCTGTCTGCCAGAGCATCACCTTTGGAAAGAATGCACCTGCAGATTCCCTGGTTTAATAGAAAAGAAGCTGGCAAAACCCCCCCGGTTCATTTTGTATGATCATTTGTTCGTGCATACAGAACAGCTGTATTTTCTGTGAGAGGCTGAGGGTGTAGGGAGGTGGGGAAGACTCTGCCAGGCATTTTGATGCATGTTGCAGTGTGGTTCAACATCCTTTAATGCCACGAATTGTACTGGTTTTGGTGGAAGTTCAGTTTAGGTTGTAGCTCGTATTGTTCTTCAGCTAAAACATCAGTGAATACATATTCTTAACGCAGCCTCTATGTAGTGTGAAGAACAAACATCCATCCCACCCCGTCCTTTTTTATACTACTGGAAGGCTCAGTAGGTTCACTCAAGCTACATCCAAAGTGAGGTGTTTTCCTATTTAATGATCGTCTCCATACATAAATGTAGCTGTTTGGATAATCTGCCATATAGAAATGCAGGTGTTATTATAAGCAAGACTACATATGACTGTAAAATAAAATCTGGAAATTCTGAGTGTTAGGTTACCCTTACAGCTTTAGGAGGCTGTGAAAAACCATTGACAAACCGTTGACGTTCTCCGTTTTGACTGTTGGTTGGGTTGAGATGCAGAGGTTGTCACGCATCCTGGTGGATCAGGTAGCTCTCTCAGCTTTGCTGCTGTAAGATGCAGAATTCCCATGTTCTGGAAATGGTATGTACCACCCTCAGCAGCTGGAGACAGGATTTGGACACATCTGCCTGTAGAAAGCATTTTGCAGTTCTAAAGGATGACAGACACCTTGTGATTTTTATTTATTCTTTTTTTTCCCATATGGGAATCCTTTTACAAAACTTGAGGAAAACCTCATACCAGAATGACTGAGGGGAAAAAAACCCAACAAAACCAAACAACCCATCTCTGGACTCCATAACTAAAAATCTCTGCTTCGTATGTTTGCATGTTTTTTCTGTGCTGAAAACTGAAGTTTTACGATCTTCCCTGTGGGGTAGTGGTGCTCCTGTTGTGTGGGTGAGCACTGGGAAGGACCATGGCACAGCTAGTGGAACTTTACTCCTGTGTTTATTATGGCATAGCGGAGTTGGAAAGCGTGGTTCTAAGGAGAAGGTTGTGGTGGGATCACCTGATGCCATGGGCAAAGTGGGCAAGGAGAGATTTGCTCATGGTGTATTGTCAGATACTATATGTCTTTTCCCTATAACGGGAACATTTATAGACATTTCTTGCTTTTGAGCCAGGTAACTTTGAAACAGTCACCTTCTGATTAAAAATTTGTTTAATGTCTTCTATCCTGCAGGCTATAAATACATATTGATTAATTTTAATTTTGGGTTGAGAATTTTGTCTTTATGTGTTTGTTCTCTTTCCTGTTATGATGCCACATCTGGTTTTCTGCCTTTAACTGTACAGCTTGTACAATGGCTGCTTCATCTTCTGGGAAAACCTTCACTGCAGTACTATGGGCCATATTGTTGTGCCCATGAAGTGCATTCTATTAACAGATTCATTTGTTAGGGTAGAAGGTTTGTCGTTGTGCTGAATACAGGACCAAGGACATGGCTCAAAGGAGAGTTTTATTTAAGATACTTCTGTAATTTTATCTTACAGTGTTAGAGGTTTGTGTCAGGGGAAGGTTTTAAATCCATCTCCTGAATTACAGTTCAGTGCCTTAACTTCATTCCATTCACGTTTTCTAAGCCTTTTTATATCTTTTCAAACATACAGCTTTATCCTTCGTCAGAGTTTCTACCCTGGCACGAAGGTAAATTTTTATGTCTTCTACTTCATTTCTTCTTACTCAGCAGAAAAAGGGAAGGTGATCATACCTTGGCTTATTATGAAGAGATACAAAAGAAAGTCTTAATAGTAGTAGTAAGTTTACCGAGTCCTTTTTAGTTGTCAGTGCATAAAGGTCATGTAGGTTATAATTGGGCTAGGGTGTTTTCTTGTTTCATGAATTTGTGAGGACTTAGCCTTAGTCTTCAAGGTGTTTGCTTGGTGTGCTGAGTTCTCTGCTGTCACAAAACTGGCAGGCATCGGCTGTAGCCTTACACTTGGTGTTCATCAGACGTTAAAGGGCATACTGTGAATGTGAACTTACTGCTGCACGGGAGGGGGGTCCTCCCAAAGGGCTGCCAGAATAACTGGGAAAATGGGAGTCTTTGGGTCTCAATTGGTTAGTTACCTGATTCACAACAGTCTGTGCTTAAAAACTTCTTAATTAGTTTACTTTCATGGATCTGGTTTTGAGGTTCAATTATGCTGAAAATAAGTACTATGAATAGATCTGAAATGCTGGCTTGTGTCTGAACTAAAGGCTCACCTAAAGGCTGCGAAAGACATGGATACGGTGTCGAGCGTTAGGTTTCTTTTGTGGCCGACTGTACCAAGCTGCAATGAGAAAAACCCTAAAATTGTTGCTTCTGGTGACGACTATGTGGTCAAAATATGTTTGATTAGTAAGGCTGTGTTGTACCTTGGCAGCTTTATCAACGTAACACTGTGGCAAATCGCGTTAAAAAAGCTGTAAAGTAATGCCAACACCAGAAAACCTTACACAGCTATTCGGGCTCTGCTTACTGAGTGGGAAAAGAAAATCAGTGAATTTGCTTTTGGGGCTTTCCGTGTGGCAGCAACCTTGAAACTGCAGGAAAACGTCTTCTCCCCTTTATTTTTAAAAAGTAACAATTTTCACACGTTTCTCCAAACTATACAAATATTTTTACAGGCTTTAAAAGCATTTACTTCTTACAGAAACTGACCTTCTGGCCCAGTATGATGCCATAGGAGTTAGTTGTGCTTTTTTTTTGTCAGGAGAAAGTCACGAAGCTTTCATAGGTCCATACTGCAGTAATTCATATTACTTTCCAGCTATTTCACACAGCTGTTCCTAGTTAAGTTTGCAGTGATTGCTGTATGCTTGGGCAAATCTTGAAAGCCTGTTTTCCCCCAGTCCTTGCCCGGAGCACTTCTCCACATTCGTGCTTCCCCAGAGGGTGAGAAGTTGCACTGGAGTTTTTTGAAGCTGTTCACAAGTCTGATTTTGGCTTAATAAATTGGGAGGGCTGTATTTTGGATACATGGTTCTGGGATGAAGTTAAACATTTCACCTAGCTTTTTATGACTACAGAGGTTTCTGTGTTCCTTGGAAGCCTGGAGTTATTAGTGAATTATGAAAGGTTTTCTTTTTTCTTTTCTTTCTTTTTTCCCTCCTTTGTGTAAAATGTCAACAGACACATAATTCTTAAGAAACCACTTTATCTTCTTTAAAGTTCAGCATTTCTGTTAGTATGGCTTCAGTTGTGTATACTAATTAGTGAATTTATGAGCAACTCTTACTGATGTCTGTATCTAGGGAAAAATTGGCTGAAATAATTCTAATGCTTAAAAAAGGGCTTGCAACAATTATCCTAAGGATTTAATGTTCCTCGTATTGTTGTTGGAGTTTCTTCAGTCTTGTCTTTAGGAGCAACAGAATTAAACTAAGAAAGCTTTCACTTGTATTGCAAAAATATGTTTTCCCCATAACAAAAAGACAAATAAGCAGCAAGCTCCTGAATCTCAAGAGATGCTCCCGTTCAATGATTTATGGTCACTTCCATGATTTATGGTCACTTCAAGCATTTATTCTAGTGGGTTAAAAGGATCATTAGACAGAAAAACCCTATATATTCCACAGAAGCAGGTGGATAGTGGAGCTTGTGTCTGAGTATTGCCCATCAGCCCTTCCCCACCAAGCTGTGATACAAGTCTTGCTGTTCAGAACCAGGTGTGTGTTTCTTGTGAACCCTTTAGAGAAAGAAATGGACAATCACCAGCTGATGCCAGTCAGTGGCCAAATCCTTGTGAGTAAACGCAGCACAGCTGTTGGTTCGTCTAGTTGGGCTTTTATAATGGTCAGATCTCTCTGTAAAGTGTGTTCAAATAGAAAATGTTTTGAGCTAATTCCCAAAATAATTTCTGGGATGCAAGCGCAAGGAAGGAGAAGTTCAGTCTGGTTGGTTTTTGGAAACATTGATAGTCTTGCACCAGATGAGTCATATCCTTCGTTTTGGACACCTGATGGCCACATAATCAGCACCAGGTTGCGACATCGTGCATGTTCCTTCCTTAGCTCCTGCAGTTCTTTGACAAAAGTCTTTTCATGTCTGTATATATCCTAAGAAGGTGAGAAGCTGTTTCTCAACTGCTCATTTTTTGATGCCTGTGTTGCAATGATCTTGCTTCCTGTTACAGATGTAGAGTTGCTCTTAAAAATCCCTGTTTAATAGAGCTCTGGATTGGAATGGCAGTGTTGCACAGAAAAGGAGTACTTGTGTGGGCTCGTTTCTCCTTGCTCTTTTTAAACTGAGAGCTTTGCAGATGCAGATTTCACTGGAAATAATGGCCACCTACAATAGAGGAAAACCAAAGGCTTTGGGGAATAAAATTTCTTGTGTTCTGCTATCACTGAAATGGTTGTGTTTGATATCAGATTGAATCGTACTGCCTGTGCAAGTGGGCTCAGTGGGATGGAGCTGCAGGGAATGGGCTTGTATTTTCTGTGGCAGGGAGGAGGAAGCTTCAGGCAGTCCAAAGAGCTTATGTGAGTTGATGTATTGGCCTTTTTCCTTTTTTAAAGTCGTATTTTAAATAATCAAAGATAGGTTTTCAGAGGGAGATGTTCTAAATACGGTTGGAATAGGACAGGATCTTTTGTGAGGTTTCGGACAACACATATTTTGGTTACTTCTCCTTCTCTGCTTCTCCAGAAAAATAGCAGTTCTAACACGGTATTGAGATTTATTTTGAGCCACAGATAGCTAAGTCATGCAGAGGGTAGAGGTATCTGGTGGATTTTTCTATGGCATTTGGTGTAGTCTTTGTATTGTAGTGTTCTCCACCCTGTGTAGCAAATGGTTGAAAAACCTGAACTTTGAGGTACGGTCTCATAGATATGCCTGTTCAGGTGAGACAGAAATGCAGCCTAGTGCAACTTCTGGCTCTACTGTTGTAACCGCTTAAAGGCTTCATTCCTTTGTGTTTTGAATGCAACGATGGGAGCAATTGGGGAAGAAAAAAGGTAAAAAGCAAATAGCTCTTCTGAATTTAGGTGAAGGCCAGTTTGGGCTTATATTTATAGCTTGAAACAAGCCAGAAGCAAAGGGAAAAGCATTTGTGTGTTAATCTGAACTACTGCATGTGATTTGTGGCTAGAAAAGTTGGTTTAGGCTTTGTGTTAATTCAGAGGCAGTAGCTGAAAGCTACATGATAGGACATTACAAATCTAAAAAAAAAAGGCTGTTCATTTTTTTTTGAAAGTAATTGATTCAAATAAACCCACTTCTCACGTTCCTGATGCTACTGTTTTCAGTGGTGTTTGTGTAACACCATTTTCTTGTGTCTTTGCTGTTCTCATCAACTTCTGCAGTTGTTTCTGTTGGTTTATTCTAACCCCTTGTTGGATGTATGATTGACACTTTGCTGTTGGACATTTAGTGAGTGATACGGTCCTGAATGGCCTTGGTCACAGTCCAGGCTTGCGCCTCACTGAAGATCTATCCCTCAGTGTGCACTCTGTGTCTGATGCTGTTCTATAAACATAAAGAAATACCTCTGCAAGAAAACTGCCATGAAAAATTTCCATTTCTGTGAGCAGTTGATGGTGCCACAAGTGGTCCTTGGAGGAATTTTACAGGTTTTTTGGTTGCTTTGATGTGGAATGAAGATAGAATAATATTGTTGCCAATTTGACAATAGCTACTTACCTTGTCATAAGCATTTTCTGTGATGAAAGATGTGATCAGATAATTTACTACCTTTGCAGCAAGCTGAAGCTCAGGCTTCCCCCGGCCGCAGGCTGGAAGCCATAGGCTTCACTGTCAAGTGCTGAAATACAACAATGGCTGAGAAATTTTACTTTTGTCTTTTTTTGTTTCTTTTTCGTTTGTTCGCAGTCAAACTGCAGCTTCAGGCAGAAGAACGAGGAGTGGTGTCAATCAAAGGTGTAAACGCGAATCGCTTTCTGGCTATGAAGGAGGATGGCAGATTGCTGGCCTTGGTAAGCAGCGGCGTTTTAATGTTCATCTCTCTCAGTGTGTCTTACCTGTACTGGGGGGTCCTCTCCTCCGGTGGGACTTACTCAGCTTCTCTGTGTGTGATTTATTTGCACAACTTTTGTCAATTAGTTGGTCTATGAACTATGAGAAGATGGGAATGTCTGGCCTCATCTAGCAGCTGCAAAAGTCTCCTGGAATGACCTCTCTGGGAGAGAAAAATCATAGCGATCATGTATAGATGGAAGTTACAAGAGCAAATAAAAATAAAGTGCCCCTTCCCCTCCCCCTGACGTATTTTTTCTTTTCACTTTCACATAAAGTGATTGTAAAGACCCTTTCACAGTAGAAGGTAAAGCCATTAAAAAACCCCAAAGTTTCTGATAGTAATCTGTGTGTATTGTTTTCCCGTTTTCTTCTTTGTAGATAATCAAGGGTTTTTTGGTCATGTATGCTTCCAAACTAGAAAACTGGAAAGAAAAAAATTTTGAAAAAGATAAAATAAATGATAAATGATGATAAAATATGATGTTAAAATGATAAATGCTAATGACGATAAAACTATATATATATATATATAAAAATAATGGAGATAAACTAGTCTTTAAAGAGACTAGTTTTAGTTTAAACTCTGTGCATTTTATTGGTATCAGCTTAATTTTTAACTGTTTTAACATCAATATTTTTAGCAGACTCTGAAAGTTAATACAGTTGCCTAGAGCTAGATTATAAATTTGGAAGTCCCAAGAGTTGCAGTTAGGTTCATTTTGCTGATGACACATCAGCACTGTAAATCTCTCATCCATATTTCTAACCTTTAGTGCAGACAAACTTCCAGAACTACTAGAGCTGCAGTTGGTAATAATCCCAATGCTTTGGTTTACCGAGCACAGCTCCGCTCAGCTCCTGTGCGAGTCCCCAGCAGTAACCAGTGCTCATCATAACGTGCATTCCTAACCCAGCTGAACTGCAGCCAATGCAAGACCCATGCAGAGGGTAGCAAGAATGACTTCCAGTTCCCCATGGTTCTGCTGAAGAGAACTCAGTCTGAGGGCAAACAAACCACTTGAGCAGTGTTACATGAGCAGGGGGATACTGGCTCCTGGAGGCCAGTTTTGTTGATGTCTGTGAGTACAGTTAAAGAACCTGTTTCAAGTTACAGCATTATTTACTTGGAGATTGCGTGACAGCTCAGTTGAAGAAAATGTGAGGAGTCGTCCACTGTGCTATTCTTGAATGAAGGATAATTGGGTATTTCCTGTGGTGCTGGTGTGGTGGCATTCAGCTTTCCGTTCAGATTGCCCTCCTTACCCTGAGCAACAGTGAATGGTCAAAACAGGGTGTTTAGCGCAGTTTGTAAAGTTATAAACACCTGGGGTGTTTATATTTGGGATTTCCAGCCTACTGTTGTGTGGTGGGTGCTGGTTGTAGAGCATGCTGCCCTTACACTACTTCCTACAGCTCCTCATTTTTGTTACTCATAGGTGAAAGCTCTCTAAAGATTCTGTTCTTCAGCCAGCCTAATGAATAATCCTGCAATTCTGTGATCATCTTCTGCAGCACAGGCAATGCTTTCTCCATGAGGATTTCTGTACCGTGACTCTCAACAGCGTGTGGCCAGTTGTGCCTCTGCTGTTCTCTGCCTATAAACACATTCATGAAACTGTTGCTAATTGCCAGCATTCCGTTTTCAGTTTGAGCAGGGTTGGGTTTCAACAGTATGTGAGAGCTCTGAAAGAGCATACGCTGGAAATCTTTGTGGTGAACTGGTGTCGTCAGTGCACATGAATTCGTATCTGCTGAAAACTTTGGTTATTTCTTTCAAAGCATTGTGCCACTTGGATTCCTTAGTACTATTCTGACCTTTTTACCATCTGTTTTTTCTTCTTTTTTATTACTTTTCGGTGTTGAGGATCAGTTTGTTTAGTGTCTTTCTTTTATAAATATATCAGCATCTTCAAAATTCCTTCTGCAAATTATTACTCAGTCCTGGTTTTCATCTAGTAATTTGTTGAGATGTGTCTTTATGGTTTGTTCTGAGCTGGGTTTTGCAAAATGATTTATTGCACAGCCAGCATATCACTGCTAGCACTGATGGTCTGCTGAAATGGTATGGCTTTTGATTTAGCAGTTTCATGCTTTCTGTTTACTGACAAACTCAGTTGTTTTAGGGGAGACGTTGTCTTCACCAGTTTGGTCACTGGAGGAAATGGCTGGTTAATGCAGCTAATCAAAACCTCCCCCCATGAAATGCTGGTTTAACTAGAAATACTTGGGCAAAAATGTATCTATTCCACCAGGTTTTTAATGGAAGAATTGAAACATTTCCTTCCGATGTGGCTCATTTTGACTTTCCAGTTTCACTTAATTGTAGTAACAAAATATTATATTATGGAATTAAATGTGTTTGTTTAATTTCATGAAGAAATTTCTCAAAGTTCCCCATGAAAGGAAGAATTGAACTTTGAAATTTCACAAGAAATAATTTCTCATTTAGGGTATGACATGTTCACTCTATCTGTCGTGCTTACATGGTTTTGCTATGTCCAGACATGAAGGGAAATTCTTCTCTTTTGATGTTATGGATTAAAATCGTGGTACAAGGATATTCATGAGAATAACCTTCGTTTCCTGGCCCTTTCATAATTAGAAAGGGCTAAACACCATCACCACCTCTCGCAGGTCAGACTCTACCTGCTGTGGTAGTTCCAGGTTAAGAGGCTGGTTTCAGTTTTGAGAGTAAACAAACTTGAGGAATTTTAATTTGTAATCTGAGTCCAAAATGCCAAAAGTAGTCAATTGGCACAATGTGATGCTAAGGCAGATGCAGTTTGTACTTCAGAATCAGGTGGTGGCTGGCATTTGGCTATGCAAATGATGGGGGGAAGAACCTTGTCGCAGGACCTTGATGCCTCTTTTGGTCAATTAATCTGCCCTGTGTGAATCACCTGAGGGTTTTGGCTGTCATTACAGTTTGGCTGCTGTAAGTGGTGGCACACAGCAGGTCCTAGTACAAGCATGGCTGCGACCACCATTGCCAACGTTAAGAACTCCCACACTAAGTGTCAAAGTGTATTTTAAAACCCACTGATATCCAGGGCTTTTCCAGGCCTGAGGCTCACAGTGCGGGGCCTGACATCCTGCTCCTGCTGGACAGCAGGCCAGCTTCTGAAAGGTTGCCTCAGGCAGATGCTAAAGAATACATAGTTCATGAAGCCTGAGCATTAGGTGACAATGCTATAATTTGTCACCTAAATCTTCACTTTTATGTCAAAACACTTACGTTGGCAACATGCTGTAGGAAAACATTGGTGTCATGTATGTGATGCACATGGCACCTTTCAAAATATCTTTATGATGATAAGGTAAATATATTTTTTCTTTTTTTTTTCTCATTTTCTTTTTTTCACCCTATTTTGATTGTTTTTGTAACACCCATAAATTGCCTGAAAAGCTGTTTGAGGGGTTTAATCTGTTTTACTCTTTAAACCACGGAGACATGAGGAAGGATGAATAAGTCTGATGCGTTTCTTTGAGTTGCCATAGGAGTGCATAGGAGAGGGATGTGCACGTTTGCCTTTTGTCTGTACGTGGTGTCTTCATAGTGGCTGCTGAAGCTCACCACAGGCGCACTGGAAGCCGTTTTGTTCCTGCTGGAGGTTGTAAAGACGCGGTTTCCCCCGGTGCGAGGTGTCTGGTCCCTGTGCCCAGCTCCACAGCCGTGCCTGGGCAGTGTGCGCAGAGGTGCTGCGGCGTTCGGAGGCCACGTTCTGCCCGGTACTTCCCCAGTGCCCTTGCCAGCTGTGTAGCACTTCCAGAAGTGTCACTGTGTCGGGTAGGAGGTGAAGGTGAGGTGGGAGCTGGCTGCGATGGCCTCTGCGCCAGAACTTCCAGCTTGGGCGATTGGACTGAGCCTGCATCAATGCCACTTAAAGTTTGGTTTTGTTATTAAACGCCCTCTTAAGGGTGCTGTCATTGGTTTCAGGCTTGGATCTGTGGCTTGAGGTGATTAATGTGTCTGTTTTTGTGTTGCTAGAATGAAAGGCGATAAAATATGATTTATCTTGAGAAAGATTAAAGTACAAATCAGATGAAAATTGTGAATTTGATTTCCACTATTCAAAGGGTTAAAATATTAGCGAGTTATAGAAATGAGGAATTGCTATGGATTTTCTCTTACAAGTTCTTTTCCTTAGAACCCAAATTCGGTATCTGGAGATGGTTGAAGTGGAGGGAAAACCCCTCCTATTTGAAGGTGGATCACTTAATTCCAGACTGCCTTTGAATGACTTAATTGCTTGTAGCCACAGAAACTTGGCATCTATGAGGAATTACTCTTGTACACTTTTGTGTGTACTGTATGAAGTCTTGTTGTTTCAAGCTCACCTGATATAGAGAATATTAACAGAAGATGGTAACAAAGAGTAGCCTGCTCATTTAGGAGAATTGCTCCACGTTCCCTGTCTCCTCTTCAGGATTTTTACAGGCTTACTTTTTCTCCTCCTCTGGTATTCCCAGAAATTTTCTGGATAAATGAGTGTGACTGAATTGATGGACTGACAGGAGGTATATATGAAAAGAAGGGGGATGTGTGTGTGTGTGTCCCTGGAAGTTCCTGTGGTGTTGAACTTCTGCCATCTTTGTACGTGAGACAGTAATTTCTCTTGCTTAAAGCACCAGTTCTGCAGGCAGGGTTACCTCTGTGACCGCTACGAGAGCAACGCCGTCCACGGACAGGGGTTCTGCTGTTGCAGATATGCTTTGGGGTAGGTGCAGTTAACACCAATAGCCTTTCTCTTCCTATAGGATGAGATCTTACTTGGCGTTGTTTGTATGTCATCTTATGTTTCCAGTACGGAGGAACTGTGTGGTTTCTTGGTGGTGGATTTGGGAAAGTGAGTAAACTTTCCTCTTTTCAGTTGGCTGTGAACAGCTACGAATAGTAACCATAGTTAAATCAGATGGGTTTAAGTCCCCCAGGCGGCAGCAATCCAGGAAAACCTGTGCGTAAAAGCCTTGCAACAGATAATACCTGTCTCAGGTTATCTCGCCAACAGGAACGGGATCATTTGAAAATGAAGACTCTTTACCTCCAGTATGGTCCCCCTGAGGGAGCAGTGGAAAGTACACTGCACTGCAGTTGTTAACTGCAGGCTTACGGGGGACTTTCGGGTGTTTCGTATGCAGTGAATGTCTTCTCTCTGATGGTGATCAAATGTGGCATGTAGAAAAGACGCACCTAGTCATGCCCTGTGGTGGTCTCCCAGCCCCCAGCCAGTCTCTGCTTTGGGGCCCTCTCAGCCAGGAAGGGTTTTTATCTGTTCAGTAAATTTCTGTTAATTTCTTTTCCATCAACTTGTCCCAAAGTGATTAAATCCATGTGATCTGGGGGAAACCATAACTTCCTCTGGTAGCTCCACAGCTCAGCTTTCACCCAGTGTGTGAAGAGCCACCCTCTTTTACCTGCAGGTGTGAAGGCACGTTAAGTCTGTATAGGTGGAATTGTGTTTTGAAAACTTACTTCCAGAAGTAGAGTAACTGCACAGATGTACTTCTAAACACCAGTAGAGTATGCTTGGTCTCTCTGTGGAATAAACCTGTGCCAGATCTGAGCTTTTCTTAAAAAGTTTTGAGGTTTGAAAAGCCTTGAACAGACACAGGCTCACCACTGTGTCCCAGTGCTGTAAATACAGGCTTGAATTAGCTTTTGGGAAGTTAAACTTCAAAATTAGAAAAGAACAGGTAAAAGCTGCAACTCTGCCACAGGATTTATCTAACTGATGGTAAGGTTGGTGTGAGAAAGGCAAGGGAAGGGCTGCCTTTTCTCTTACATCTCACTTGTCTTTTTGGTTAAATGATAATCTAGGATGAGATGGCAAAACTACCAAGCTTGGAAATAAGTAAATGCCAAGAGTCAGGGTTCTGCATTGAGTTGTCTAAATTTAAGATCAGAACAGACTTAGGTAATGAAACCAAACTAGAATATGCTTGGTCTGTGTCAAAGACAATGAACAAACCATAGTTAAAGGCTCTTCTTCTTGCAGGTGTGTTTAACGGTGTTTTCACAGTAACTGTATCTCGTTTCAAATACGAAACATTTAATGTGAATTTCTTAAAACCAAATGTACTGTTAATTCATGTCATTGGTAACTTAGTCCCATGAATCTGAAGAATTGCTTTGTGCAGAATATCAATAACCCTTTTCTTTATCCCTTTTAGAAATGTGCAACGGAAGAATGTTTCTTTTTTGAGCGTCTGGAATCTAATAACTATAACACTTATCGATCCCGGAAATACTCTGATTGGTACGTGGCACTGAAAAGAACTGGGCAGTACAAACCTGGACCAAAAACTGGACCTGGACAGAAAGCTATCCTTTTCCTTCCTATGTCAGCTAAAAGCTGATTTCCATGAGAGATTCTGAGCACACACACCACACTATGCTGAAGATGTCGAGTTTCCTGCTCCTCTCTGAAGTAGCAAAACCATAAGCAATTATTTCCTGATCTTCACTACTTGTGCAAATGCCAGATTAAACCACGAATGTTTCCTCCTGTCTTACATTGCTCTTTAAACCTACTGTGCCAGTGTGTGCGGAGGTAGAGTTACTTGGAAGATACATTTTTGGATCAGTAATACCGTTGGTTTGTGCTAGATATCTATGTAGAGCTGTTTTATTTGCCTTATGTTTGCTTTACAGGGTAAAAGAAAACAGATCTGATGCACACTTACAGCAATATTTACCTTTAAAAATAATTTATATTTCTATAACTTGTTAGAGAATAAACAATTAGTTTCTAATAATTACCTAGAAAGAAGTCCATGGATAATTTTAATATGATCTCTGTAATGCTACAATAATAATAATAATAATCCTAAATTATTACTGTAATGAAATGTGAAATGTATTGCTATCACATCATGCTTCTATAGGACTCGGGCAGCTCCCTGTGGTACAGTTTGTAGAAGAGGCCTGTGTAGACAGCAGGGAACTCTCTCATGGTGATATCGATCTTGTCAAACCCCTCCCTGTATCCATACAGTAGGAGTTTAGCTACATGGCTGGTGATGGGAGTAGCGAGTTTCGTCCGAGCAAGCTCACCAAGGTCCATCCACTCACACCTCAGGCACTCCTGCTGGCAGAAGCTAATGTTGAAGGAGGAGGGCTCCAGACGACAGATGATGTACATATCCGACTTCCCAAAGGCTCCAGGGTGTTCATGTTGCTGCCGAATGCTTAGGATGGACTTGAACTCTGACTTGATGCCAGTCTCCTCAAACACCTCTCGAACTGCTGTGTCTCCTAGGTGAAAAGAGCAAACCTTACAGTACATAAGAGAATAGGTCAACACTCTTAAAACCTCCTCAGTGTGGAAAATCTGTAACTCAGAGTGTTCTCTGTTACACTTTGTAAGCTGTTTGGAATGTCAGCCTATTTGTTTCAACACAAGGATAAGCTAATTTTTTGGTCCCTGAACAAAACTAATTGGTTTTCTTGTTTGTATTGTAGAAAACGATGAAAGTAAGAAACTTTGGTAATTCTGCACAGGGTGTGGTTTTGAAATGGACATTCTCGTGGTTGCTGGCTCCATTATCTGTTAACCCAGGGCAGCATCGCACCCTCCTTTCAGCCCTTTGAATCTTGGTCCCCTCTGTCTCCTTGCCTCTGTCCAGTTTCAGGGTCAGACCTGGTGCAGCTGAACACCTGTACCTACAGGAGACAAGTTGATCAAATCCACTCCATTGTGCTTTGCCACAAGGTGTAATAAAATGGGTAAAACTATGGCTTGAGGAAGGTGAAAGTTGGTGCTAGGTCTGTTTCAAGATACAGGTTAAGTGCGCAGTGACATTTCAGAAAGGCCGTAATACCAGTTCAGCACACAGCCAGTGCTTGCAGGAATCTGTGCTGCATGTGTACGTGTTGTGTGCATCAACCGAAGTGATGCAGGTGTCAGTTTTCTGCCTCATCAAAGGAGCCCTAGCTCCAGGGCCTTAGAAGGTGAGAAGAACTTAAATTGAGGAGCCCAAATGAGAAGTTTGCTATTCCACTTATTTTCCCAAAGTCTGCAATTTCATTGTGGTCAAGTCAAATCCTACTCGCCAGGGGTAGGTAAAATACTGGTAGGTAAAATACTAGCTTTTTCCAACTCTATGTAAACTCCTTGTTGTGTCTTGTTTGAGTGGTGAATGCATGTAGCTGTTTTGTGATGTTCCCTGCTTCCATTAGTTCATTTCAGTGTGAAATGAGTGCATTGGCTTACTTCAAACACAAAATAAGTTTTAAGAGAACTCATATTCGCCTTCCTACAGAAGCTCATGTTGTGACATGTCAGAGGTGAACAGAGCAGGCAGGCATTTTAGGGGTAGTTTCAAATAGTAGAAGTAAGTGGACATGCAATGGCTAGCAACGTAAAAACTGATTTATCCAGCAGAGGCCAGCTGACTGTATGTGAATGGCCCCGAATCTGCACGTCCTGCCTCAGCTCAACTTCCACCATGCGGTGGAAGGAGCTGCATAAAGTTTACACCAGGTGTGTAGAGGTCTTTGTGGGACTGCATTAATACGTGGTGTCTGCAGAACATTTATGTTTGTGACTTCCTTACAGTGTTCCTTAGTTAAAAGGCACCTGCGTATGGGGAAAGACACTCATTTACCATGACTGACCCTTGAAGAGGCTGCAACCCTCTGGTTTAAAAGAGTGGATTGCAAAGCAACCTGCCTGTGGTACGTGGTTTTATTACTAGGCAAGGGGCTGTATTACACAGAAGTGGTCAAAGAAGGTAAACAGCTGAGGTCCTGAGGAATGCTGAGGCAGGCTGTGGTTGAGAAAAATGAAATGATTAGAGATTTCACTTAAGCTTTGAGCTTTGCTTTTAGATACAGTGTTCTTTCTGTTTTCACTTTTATTTAAATGTGTGTATATATATATATATATACACA